TAATAAGAACATGAACCTTGCCTTCATCAATACAGGATTTGTTAAGCTCTCTCTTAGGCAAAAAAAAAAAGAAACAGATTTTTCCTGTGTATTTGTTTAGATGTAGATGATAAACTGAAACATTGCCAAATTCCTTTCTTCCTTCAAACAAGAAATCCATTATGTCCTAAGAAATAAATGTATGAATATTTCCCCTCTTGAGAACAGCACCATTATTCTATGAAACTTAGAAATACAAGAAAGAAATAAAACCCCAACAGGAAATTGAATTTGCACCTTGTTTAATGAATGGTGACAAAGCAGATCATTACACTTTTCTTAATGAATAGCATTCACTTTTGCAAACTGAGAGCCCATGCTCATAGGGTCTACTTGTGTGGTTTTTCTTTCTTCAGTGTTGAAACAATTTTTACTTAGGACCTGGATTTTCAGCTCTCACTGACAATAACCCTATGGAAATCCTACATAATGCTCAGTAGGATCAAATGCTGCTTCTATGCACTTTGAAGAAATCTGATCTCTTCATTTTCATCATATCCGTTAAAGCTTGGAAGTGACTCAAGAATGATCTGAGTCCCTTGGAGATCACAGGCAATTGGATTGCTTTTGAACAGCAACCTTTTGTTGTAACAGCCCGGGCTCGTGAACGCACACCCTGTAGCTTTGGTACCTGACAGCAGCATTGACAGTATCTCCAATCTTCTTGTGCTTCAAGGATGCAAAATACCAGCTCCAGAGAGAGAGAAAAAGCTTGTAGGTCTGCGTTTTCCATACTGTGTGAGGCAGGACTGTATTCCAGCTTATTCCATTCACAAGGGAGGCAGAATGGTCTGTTTAGAATATGAAATCCTTTGTTATAGAGACTCAGAAAAAGGCTGAGTTACTCCAGGAGCTGTTGAGGATAATGATTTTTTTTTTTTATTTATTTAAAGAAAAATGCTGATTTAATTGTCTCTGTGCTTGTGGTACCCCAGGGAACAGAAATGCTCCCCATCATCTCCTGTTTCAGAAGGGAGGTTCTGGTCATGTAAAGTGGAATTTCTTCCATTGCATCGAGCAGGAAGAGTTCTTGGGGAAATGTTATTCTCCTGTAGAACTATTTCCAAGGGGTGGATGTTTACAGAATACCTCTCGCTTTTTGCCATCTCAAGCATGATTTGTGCATTGCAATTGGCTCCACTAATTAATTCTTTCCATCAGCATGGGAAAAAATAAAATAACATAATTTGATGTTTATTAACTATCGTAATTTTGATATTCATTTTTCTGTGATGGCATGTTATTTTTATCACAGCGATTACCTAGATGACACTATTGGGATTTATTGTACGTACGGACTAATCACAGCTGGTATCTCTTCATTGCCTCTGCTGTTTGTGGCATGAACGATGCTGGGCAGATGGTCTTTCTTTTTAATAAAAACGATCACGATTTGTCCATCGTTTCTGTGGTATTTCTACAGTGGTCATAAGCATGAGTGCGAAGGCGATATGTTTAAGCTTGAGGGGATTTGTTATCAGAACCATGACTTCTGCCCAGTTACAAAAAAGGAAAAAAAAAAAGAAAAAGCTGCTTAAATCCCTTCCTTGTTTGCACACCGCATGTACACCAAGTGTGGATCCAGCCATGCTCATCCTTTCTGATTTGATCTCTGACTCAAAGTGAAAGCAGCCTGCTGGAACAGCATTTTTCTGATCATGGATGTTAACAGTCTGGGTGACCCTTGTTTCGCCCATGTAGCTTAAAGCTGTGATTAGGGATGGGAACACATGTGCTAAATCGTCTGCAAAAATCCGTTGTAGTGTGGGGGTGCCAGGACTTGCCTTTAATTCTCACAGATTGGTGTGTGCTTCCTGCTGTGAGTACGCCCAAGATGATGGATCTGCTGGTGGTTCGCATCATGTTCTGCTTGTGCCTGAATTCATGACTTGCCAGTATGAGAGAAACTCATTCTGAGTTATTGACAAAAAGAGTGAGAGATTGGGTGGAAAGGAAACTTCATAAAGAAAAGGGCAATAGAGGGAGCTTCTTTTTAATAACGGTAATTGCTTTCTTTAAAAGACTTGCCAAATAATTTTATCCCCCATTTTCATCGCTAGGCTTGAGTCCCTGTGGCCATGCAAAAGGGATAGAGCTTAATAACTGTGAGTGCATGAATGCTTCCATTCCAAGTTTGTAGTGTTTTTTGCAAGCGATGATCTGCCACAGACCTCTGTATGATGTATTGAAACTGGATTTCAGACGAAGCTAGAACAGAGGTTGCATTGAAAGTTACTTTTGATCATCCTACCATATTAGACCCATTGCCTCGGCAGGTAAAGAGAGCCATAATGACTAAACGAGTTTTTCAAAAGGTGACTCATTGGTAGAACTGGGGACTGTAGTAAAGAGCCAGAGAGTTCATATATGCAGCTTCTGAGGCAGATCCAGCAGCATGCTGAGTGCCTTCAGCTTGAAGGTGAAATATATATATATATATATGTAGACTTGGACCTTAAAGCTGCAAGCTGAATTACAAACTAAAGGAGGTTAGGAAGAAACTTTGCATAGATACAGAGTACTCCATAGCTCTTTATGAAATTTAGTGGCTTCTGAAGCATCTATTATTGACCACCCAGTGACAATGCTCCAGTTTGTACACTGTAACCATGGCATCTAACAGTCTGAATATTGGTGTAATCCCTAACAACTTCTAGGCACTAAAGTAGAATTCTTGGTTACCCCATGATCTAATGGTAAGGAGGGTAATTTAGAAAAACAACCCTATTGTAAGTAGGCTTAGGTTTTGCCTCTGGACCTCCAGTGGAAAATGCCTAGATGGTCCCCAACTCAGGAAGAGTCTGAGGGGATGTGGTGCAGAGGTCACAGTATTTTCTGCCAAAATGGTTACATGGTATTGTACTGTTAGTTTGAAAATAATAATTTAAACAAAATGGTAATCAGTAGCAGAAAACAGAAGAATGGAAGTCGAGTTTTTTCTGTAGGTGTACCTGAAAACCAGCATAAAGCATTTTGCAGCATTATAATAAAGCCTTAACAGTAGTTCTCTGTGATCTCCTAAGTCACTGATAACTGAATTTTTGCTGCTTGTGGATTTAATGCCACCATGAAATGTAATTTGTTTGCACATGAAATATTTACACTGTTCTATGCAGAAATATGAAACCAGAAAAATGCTAGCACTGGTACCGCTTCAATTCCAAGTTGCGTTTTAGTGCATTCTGTTTATTGCTATTCTATTAATTATTGTTACAGTAAAACTCATTAGACTTTTGAGGCTTGGCAACAGGCAAACACATAGAGTTTGCAATCCCTGCCCCAAACAACTTGTGATTTTAATTTACAAGGTGGGTAGCTAATAGGATATTAGCTCATTATAAGGGGGCAGAGAATGAATGTTGTGTTCAACACTGTGCTTGGAATTTGTGGTGGAGAGATCAGTTGGACCTAGTTCCCCTGATGATCTTTCTGTATTTCATATTTTAATTTTTCAAGGGCTCTGTAACTGCAGGGACCTAGAATGCTGCTTATTTATTTTCCCTTAATAATCAGAATTTCTGATATTCGATATTTCTGATATTTGATCTGAATGTACTTGAATGTTATGAAGAGGGATGAGATGGAGTTGCTTGCAGGGTAACAGTTAAGCTGGCATCTTAGACCACTGTGAAAATTAGATTCTCTTACTGAATTACGCACATACAGCAATATTCAGAGGAGCACTAGGAGTGGCTGAAACCAAAATGCCCAGGAGCTGTCATATACATATAATTCAACTTGCAGCTTCTATTTGTTCTTTCTCAGGTGAATAAAGAGGACTTTAAAAGCTCACATGAACCAAGTAGTATTTTTGGTGCTACTGAGGGACGTTAGATAGGTTCGAGTCCTTTATTCAACACGAGGTAAAGCAGAAGAGTGAAATTCAGTCTTCCATCTCACATAGCTGTTCTGGGATGGATTGCTTTATTTTTTCTGTATTGACCAAAAATGCCAATGTAGCTCTATGAATATTTTCTTAAAGCAAAATAGGCATCTGGTTGTGATCTGTTTTGATTTGGGTGAATAAGCATTTAACAGTGAAAACTGTTTACTTTAATCCGTGAAGTACATGGATTATAGTATGTGAAAGACTAACAGAAGAGCAGTGCAGATTAGGCACTCAAAGGTAATAGTAATTCTTTGGACATTAATTTGTTCAGAATACAGGGGGGAGAATACACTTTATTACTATTTGCTTGATTCAGTATTCAATATACTGTTGTATAGGTTGGCTGCATATATCATGAAATATATATAGTGGAGATGTAACTAGATTTTTTTTATAGTGCTTTATTGTCTCTTTACTGCATCTTACTCCTAGTATTTATGTCTAAATTAATACTGTAAAATCAACCCAAACATTTCAAAGATCATACATTTTAAAGCAAAATGAAAAGTATTAATGCAGCAATGGTGCAGCAGCTCAGTGTTATCTGGGGACCGGAGGAGTTCATCTAAGCCATACAACGTTGCTAAAATATTCATTGTTTCAAAAAGATGCAACACCTTGAAAGCTTCTTAAAATAAAGTTCATGCTTACAGGAAAAATGTATGCTATTGTATAACATAACAATCTGTCCTATTTATGGAATCGTATATTTTCTTCTGTTCACCTCCAGTTCCAGAAGTGAAAGAAAGATTGTATTGGTACAAATAATTCTGGTAACATGATTACTGGATGATTGGGAGGTAACTGAGGTCTTGGCAAGGACCATGCACATGAAAGTTATGGTTATGTGGATGCCTCCAAGGAGAGTCTTTATTCCAAGCTCTCTTGTAGCTGGAGAATGCCCCCCATCTCCTGGGATGTCAAGGCAGACAGTGACAGGAGGAGAAAGCAAAAATCTGACAGAAGGGAGCAAGACCACCAGCGTCATCTCATTTGTTGGCAGCACGGATTGTGGCTGACATTCTTAGTAGGTATATTTTTCCAACCTATCTATGTGGTTTTTTTCTTTCAGTGTGTGGCTGTGATTTGGCACAAGGAGGCTTTTTCATCAAGAACGGGGAGTATCTGTGCACCTTGGATTACCAGCGCATGTACGGCACCCGCTGCAACGGCTGTGGGGAGTTCGTGGAAGGTGAAGTAGTGACAGCTCTGGGAAAAACTTACCATCCAAGCTGCTTTGCCTGTACTGTTTGCAAGTAAGTCATCTCTTTCAACTTACATGGTGTGAACTCAGCACAAAGGAAATGGGGGGAAAAGTAGCACCATGAGACACAAGTCTCCGGATATTTCTTTTCGGGAAGCCTTTGGTTTGAAAAGATTTCATAGAGAGGGAGGACCCAAAAAACAGGGCCTGTTCCTTTGTAGTCTTGGAGGGAAATAGGACAGTGGAGTTGTACAGAAGTCAGAATCTGACAGCAGTCGAATGGTCTGAAACCTAAGGCAGGACGGTGACATGAACAAGAAAGGCAAGAATCTGCATTCTGAGATCGTACCTTCTTGGAGATCCCATCACAGGATGCATCTGGAAATTAGCGTGATACACTTGCCAGGTGCTACCCTAATCTTTCGTAGCTATCTCTGATGAGTAGTTTAAGTACTTTATCCTACAGCCTGGTGCATTTTTCAAAACCTTTTCTATTGGAAGTATTTTGATCATTTTTCTGTTTGGTTTTAGTGTGTGAATTTACTGCATGTTAGTAATCATGTGACGTGTATGTTTCAGATTCATTGCCCAAGGACAGTGTGAAAGTAGATGATACAGTATGAAACGTGACACCAATTTTCTGTACATAAACTTACATCAGTCTTTTTATGTTGAATGAACAGAAGATGAGTCATTGGAATAGATTCATGAAACACAGTTTTGCTACTGATTTATTTATGGAAAATTTACTTAGGAATGGCAGTAGAAGGGTACCTAGAACAATGTCTTAAACATTTTGTTATGTGGAAACAAGCAAATGTTCATTTGTTAAGCACAGATTTGGAATGAGGTGTGGTGTAGGGGAGTCTGTGCTCAGCAGCTAAAGCTACATACTAAAGATTCGGCGTTACTAACCTTCTCATTTTAATGACATGCTCATACAAAATGTTGTTCATCCTCTGTTTTATACACCAAATAAGAGTTAACAGCAATGTCAACTTCTGCCTGACACACGTTCTTAACATTTTGGTGTGTTCAGCAAATAATCTCAAGCTTCCACAGCGCTTTCAGCTTTTCCCTTTCTCATAACACCATCTGCACAGGTAGCAATTACAGTGGTGGTTCTGTAATGTAGATCCCTATTTTAAAGCTCTAGGAAAATGGATGTGGATAACGTTTCTTTTTTTTGCAAACTACTACATCCTCTGTAATATAGTCATATATTTCATTGCTGAATACAGATTAAATTAGTGTGTTTACGAAAGACTAGCTCCATATTCCTTCACTAGCCTCAAGAGCAATTCAGACACTTCCTTTGAGTTCTCCTCTGTACCATTTCCTACCCGCAACATCACGCTGAGACCATCATAAATGTAGCTGTTGTGTCTAAGAGGATTTCACTGTCGTCCATTCATTAGATAAAGTATGTTTGATAGCTTTTTTAAACCAAAGTACAAGGCAAGTCTAACCTCTGCTCTGCTTGCATCCATGGTCTGGATTTCTTCCAGTGCCTGGGTTTGCCAAGGCCACATTGCAGAAACTATTTGGCCTGAGTCTCTGTAAAATACTGATTGCACTGGGTGAAGGCAGCAAAATCAAGGCATAGGGAACAGAGGAAAATTTCTGGCATAACCTTTGCTAAAATACATTTTTCTCTTTAACTCTCCAGGCGTCCATTTCCACCGGGCGATCGAGTTACCTTTAATGGAAGGGACTGTCTCTGTCAGATGTGTGCTCAGCCAATGTCCTCCAGTCCAAAAGAGCTGTGTGCCTCAAGCAGTAAGTATGCTGTCTTCTTTCTGAAGCCTCTCATTTTACCCAGGCTGATCGTCATTTGGTTAAAACAAACTTAATGCAGTCTTTGGGATTTTTACCTTTAGAAATGGGAACTGTCTCTGAGAACCATCTTTTTTTTCTTTCTTTCTTTCTTTTTTTTTTTTTTTTTTTTTT